CTTTGCTTTCATCTGCTGACCTATGGCATCCTGTTATAAGAGAACAAAAAACGATGTCAATAGTTTCTTCTCCTGAATCCTCAAACAGCTAACTATTGATCCCGGTAAAAGAGGTGATGAATTCTGGAAATGAACATGCTCCTCAAAGAGCGAAAAAAAATTCTGGAATAATTTCTAAAAGTCACATGCAGTAAAACTTTCCAGATGTGACTTCCAAAATGTAGTTTCAGGGAAGAGACTTTTAAAATCAAGAATATAGTGATGAGATTAATAGAATTTGTGGGATCTATCACTTAGTAGCAGAGACTAAATTTGGTGAGGGAAAAGAAAAAGCTCCAATTTGTGGCAGAGGTGAGACTAATGGTAAAGGCAGTGGATTAGGACCATAGTGCCTGGAAACTGCACTAGTTTGCTGATTTTTCTCAGTGTGTGTCACCTTTAGAGGGTACTGTCTTGGCTTTAGGTATCTAGAAATTAAGTGTGTAGTTGGACTTTAATCTCAAATTAAGTTTTATTGCTGGAATGAGACCCTTTGAGAGTGAGTCATTCCACCTTTCTCTCTACATTGATGGAGGACCAGCAGTGAGTAGCTTACTCATCTGAAAGTGAGGAGGGGTAAACGTGGTCCTTGGAGTGTGCCTTCACTGAACGTCAAGAGCAGTTTCTTCTGTGAGGTGTAGCTTCGACCTTCCCTGCCTTGTTCCTGTGTAATCACCCACGCAGATATGATTTGTTGTACATGTCAAGCAGCTCACCTGTCCAAGTGTATGAGCTACTTGAATTTTGGCCACACTGGATCCATTTTCCATTAAGGAACAAAGTCATGCAAGTCTTTCTCTTGTACCTCTTCATCTTTCAACAAAGCACAGGTGTTATTACAGAGCAGTTACACTTGCAATTACCCTGCAAAAAAATTAAAAGACAGTAAAAGGACAGATTGCTTTTGTAATTTTTTTGTGGGTTTGGTTGGGGTTTTGGTGGGGTTTTTTTGAGCAATCATCTGAACTCTCTGTAGAGTGAAGGTGTCAGACCCATATGCCCTTCTGCACTTCAGACTTCCCATAAACGGCACAATAAATCTTCGTTCTTCAGTATGAAGTGTATATACAAATGGAGAACTTCCGTTACAAAGTTCAGTTAGTATAATGGCTAGAGGTACCTCAAATGCAAAAATTGCTTTCTTTCCTACTCTGCTTTGGATGAAACAGAATGGTAATTATCAGTAAACTGAGTTAGAACTAGTCCGTTCCCTTGCAGTCCCATTCCTTTTGGGTTTGTCCTTCTGGAAGCTTTGAGAACCCTGTAGTTAGAAATAGGTTACTAGCTCTTAATCAACTAAAGTAAAAATTACTTTGGGGATTAGCAGACCTATTTAAAAAAAAAAACAACCAAAACCAAACCCACTATATCTCTCATTGGATTGCTATTTCCCTTTTTTCCTATCAAATTCCAGGCTTGAACTGTTGATAAATTTCTGCTAACCCAAGGACTGGTACATTTCTGTCAGGATACAGAAACTTAGGAAATGTTTTCAGATGTGATAATTTTACTTTCTGTGCTAAGATATATGAAAGACTACAAATTTAAGTTACAGTTCATGGTGTGGAGAAGGAATGTAGTATGACTTTTGTTGTGGTGTTTTTTAAGGGTGTTTTGAAATAAATCACTGTGGGATCAGTTTGATCTACGAAACTTATGTTCTTGGATGGTAAGGAATGCATGGAAATATGTGTTATCTTTTGCAGATCCTTAGGAGGACATGTTGATTTTTTGTTGTGTTTTTTTTTTATATTGGGCAATGGAAGAACAGTGAAGAAACTCTTATTTTTCAGAACTTCCTATTTCTCCTTTTTTCTCCCTATGTCTTTATACCCTTTTCACACCATCTCTCTGAAACCACCCTTTAGATTGTCCCATCAGTTTCAAATTTCTGTGGAGAGTAGGAAGAACATTCTTGTGCTTTGTATTCTTAATAGGTAAGGCTTTATCTAGGACAACTTACTTTATCTAGGACAAAAAAAATATTTTAATTCATTTTAATCTTTCAACAGCAACAATATTGTCTTGTGGATGGATTATATTTATCTTGGACAACTTACTTGAAAAAATATTTTAATTCATTTTAATCTTTCCACAGCAACAATATTGTCTTGTGGATGGATTATCTACCTAACTTATTATAATTCCCGGAACATTGGACTGATTTTAACGCTGGTTCTTAACAGATTGTATAAACATGGCTACATCCATATTGGTAAGTTATGGTTACTGTAATGCCACTGTTTGTCTTCTGCTTTTTATTACACCTCAATTTGCTGAAAGCTCTAAGGAAAAAACGCAGTGTTCTTTTGTTAAAGTAGTTTGAAAGTGATCAGCATGGGTTTAATATAAGAAGAGAAAAAGTTCAATATCACACTTCAGGGGAGGATTGTTGGTGTAGGTAGAAAAACGCCCCCTTTTTCCTTGAAGTCTCATTGTTTTATACTAAAGTTCACTTGACAGGTTTTTTAATTTTAAGTCAAGTTTAATTTTTTCTGTTTAGTCTATATATGTTATGCACTTAATTGTTACCCCTTTTTCAAAGCCCTGCAATCATAATGGTTAATGTCCTAAAAGGAGGAGATTGACCTCAGTCTCCCATGGACCCTGCCTGAGCCGCTTCTGAATTTGCCTCATAATTTGGTGTTAAGGGGTCCAGCTTCCCACTGCTCTGCACCTTCGAGGTAGTTTATGTGGAATCTAAAGCATCTGGAGTGAGCTCAGAGGGGCACAGTGGAGTCTTCAGCCTCAACTCACTGTTCTGGCAGTGTCCTTGCACTTTAAGTAAGCTGTCAGAACAACTAATCATGCTAATCCATACTGGGACTGTGATATGTAGAATTTATACCGCCTAGAACATTTGCATCAAAATCCATTAACTTTTTTTTTATATTTTAAAACATTTTTTAATAAAACAGGTCAGTACAAATCGCTTGGGCACTCACCCACATTACAAAAATAACTGATGCTGAGTCACAGAGGGCTGTATCCTACAACCTCACTCTGACTGCACTTTTAATTTTCTTTCATTTATTCTTCCATGCTTTCATCTGTCTGCTTCCCAGAAAGATAATTACTTTAGTTCTGGACTTTTTCTGCAACTATTGATGATAAATGTAGTGAAAACTTAAAAAAAAACCCAACCCAGTCACACCCACCTGCCAAAGAGATGCCTGCAATAATTTGCTTATGTCCTTAAGAATTTAAGAACTGTAATCCAAACCATCTTCAAATCCAACTTTTTAAACAGCAATATAGATGAAATACTTATTGGCTGCTACACTTGATCTGTGTGCTTTTATTAAGATTCTTCTGTGAAATTGCTATTAAGTCAAGACAGCTGAGCATAGCTGGCCCAATATATATGGTGTTCTTCATAAGCTTAATCAGTAAGAAGAACATAACATTAATTAAATCCCATGATTTACAGCTTGGTTTCAATCAATTAATGTTGATTTTTCTTTTTTTTTTTTTTCAAAACAAATCATGGTTTACTTAACTTTCTGTGGGTGAGGTGTAAAGCCTTAAGAAGAACATGGGCTACTGCATTACCTTCTGGTCTTTTGATGCTTATTAATCCTTCCTACTGTGAACACAATTTGTGATAATAATGGACTGAAAACTTTATAGCCTTTTAAACTTTGAAAAATTATTTTGTCAGAAATCTTTATTTCTCTAGTTAGTCTTGCATATAATTGCTTGATACTTAAAAATGTTCAAGCTTCCCAAGGCACCTGAACGTTTCTGAGTGACTAGTGTGTTTCAAGGGGTTGGTTGTATTTTTAGATGGTGCCAAACCCAGCACCTTTTAGAGTTGTGTACTTTTTCTCTTCTATGTTCTGAGTATCTGGTTTCCCTTCTCCTCTGAAAGTCTGTGTTTTTAAAGGGAAAACTCAAGATACCCAGTAAACACATATCAGATAATTTAATACTATATTCTTCCTGTCCAGAAAACAAAGCATCAACAACTTTAGGCTAAAGTCCGATAAACGCTTTCTCTCACACTAGGTTCCTTTTCATTCTCTGTGCTGTCTGGAAAAGTCATGGTTCGCGAAATCTATTTCATCACAGAAGACATGTCTATCAGGTACAGATTTCCAAGGGAGTTGCTCTTCTAATTAACTATTTAAAATACAGTAAATGTATGTGTCTAAATAACATATGTCAAAATACTGTCTTATAAATGAGCAATAAATATATTTATAAATGTTAAAAATAAACTGACTGTTTTGACAGTAGTATTTAGACATTCTTGGATACTTACGATGTTAGCTCATTTGTTGTTTGAGGGCTATCAATTGAAAGTACTGGAAAAGATTATAGTTGTCCTCAATATTTGTAAAAGAAAACACTTTAGAGTTTGAATGAAGACTGTTTTTCATTCATGTCTTTTCACTCCTTCATGATCCTGCTCTTAAGTCTGGAAGATTAATTTTAGCCGAGTAGTTTTCGCTTACTGGAATTGAGAATAATTTGGTTCATGAACTGCATGCTATTGAATAGTTTGTAATTTTGATTCTTACTGTTAATTTTGGAAGCCTTGGGAACTTATGGCAAGTTTCAGCTAATGCAGGAGTTGTATAATATTACACTCTATGCTTTATGGTGTAATACTGTGTGCTTTAATATTGCTTGTACGCTACTGCAACTGCAGATCTCTGTGCTGTATAAGGCAGCAGGTCCTGCAGCTGCAGATAGGGTTTTGGATTATCACTCTTAACTTCTGTTTTATCTAATTTATTTGATTTAGAATTCAGGACGGATTTATCATATTTCGCTGGTGGAAGATGTACAACCCTAAGCAGAAACAGCACGGTAGGTTGCTCAAAAAGGCTTCAAAGTTTAAATTAGATTTACAGATGGCCTACAGAAAAATATTTCCTTTGCACAATGGGATGTGTGTAGCTGATTTGTTAGTATGCACCTGAAGTACATTGAACCATCAGAAGGTACGAGTTCTTTTCACTGCTTGATCTGTGATAGTAGACTAGAACAACACAGTGAAATAAATGCAGACTTCGTTATCAGAGACTTGAACCCTTCTTAAGACAAACCATTAACTGGAGTAGTAGCTGTTATTAGGTGTAGTCTAAGCATAACTGACCCTGTATTTAAGTTTATAACGATGATAAATAGAGACGTCTTATGTTCTTATTTTAGTTTTCAAGTTTTAGTGTTGTACTGTCAGTGTTTTAGCAGAACTGTTACAGTATGGGATGTTTAGTATTTGATGACCATACGCCATCAAGACACAGGGTTGTTATCAAAGTGGAGAAATGTGAAAAATTCATTTATATTTCTTCCTTATCTCTGGCTGAAGAATTAACACTGGATGCAAGAGATTAATTGTATCTGCAGAAAACACTGTGAGAAAACATCAGTAACCTTGTGATGTGTGCTTAGTTGTTTATGAGATTGGAATCTGGTTGAATGAGTCTCAGGTCCTGCCTCTCTTGACATTTGAAGCATCACAGCTCCATTGCTAATTCAAGGAGGTCCAGAAATGACAACTGTCTACAGTTGAGGGCACTAATTGAGAGGATCATTGAACTTTGGAGGGCTTTTTTTTTTCCATCTACCCTTTGGAAGTGGCCGCTGACAGTGTGAAGCCTCTTAGGCTTGTCAGCAAGCTTGTACGGCTGTTGCTTTGTCAGTACCAACTCAACAGTAGTAGGAGTACTGCATAGACATTATGCAGGTGAATAGAAGACACTGTTCAATATAGTGAAATGAATTAGAGTTGTTCACTTATTTTTATTGAGGCATTACTAAGCCTCTAAAGTGATAGGACACAGTTCAAGTTCTTTATCCTGTTAAAAGACTAATTCAAAAAGTGGAAGCTAGTCTTGGAGTTAATTATATTTTTCCAACCACAGGTTATCGTTCAACAGGTTTTTGTAGAGTTTTCTTCATGTGCTAGTTAAAACATATTTCTCTAGTGACTTGCAGAGTTAAAAAACGAATTGAACTTAATGCAATAAAGATAGTTGTGCCTGTCTTTTATGGTGGTGTTTTTGCTTGGCAGTATTGCAAGGCTTTGACCATTTCTGCTGGTGTTTAAGATGGCGCAATTAGTGGACAAGTCATCCAAGTAACCAAGGAGTCAGAGGTGTATAGGTCTGGTCTCTCTTAAATAATTGCACTTTTTCCTGGGGAAAATAACCTTGCTCACTTTACATTTTGATTATTTAGCGCAGATGCTTTCATTTTTAACCTTAAAGGAAAAATAAAATCTTCAATGTATTCTTGGCCTATGGTAGTATATTCCTCCCAATACCTTTTAATCCTCTTGATTGCAACAGAAATACCTGTACCTGATGAAATCGCAAAGACAGCTGGTAAATTGCATCTTAAAGATCAATTTTGTTCAAGGATTGCTCCCTTGAAGCTGTCACACAGAGTGACTGGAAAACCTGTTGTAGCTAGACATTATTTATGCATACCTTTGTTCCAGATCCTTCGTAAAAGAAAAAAACAAAATAGAGCTGAGATTTTCCTATAGAGAAAGACATAGGTTGAATCAGGGCTATTAACAACTTAAAAATCCCACCAGATTTTTATAAAAACTCAAGCCTTAAATATTTTAATATTTTTGCTTGGAAAAAATACGTCTTATGAAGACTTAGACATAAGCAATAACAGTTAGTTTCTGAGTGTTGTTGGTTTTTTGTTTTTGAGTTCTGTAACTGAAGTGCGGGGTGCTCCTGATAATGTGAAATGCAATAGGAATGGGATTTTGGTTTTCATAGCGGTGATAAACTTGAAATCCTGTTAGTGTAGAAATAATGTGACCTCATTGTGTTTTTTTTCTGAGAGATATTTAGGGTATTAGAGGAGAGGGATTTTGTGCACAAAGGGGAGGCTAGTGAAGGATCCTGAAATACTTGGAGACCTTAGTAAGGGAACTCCCTTTCAGGTCATTTCAGGTATCTTTGACATCACTTCTTTGGTAAAGGACTGTACTCCATAATCCAGTTTTCACTGGTAAGATTATCAGTGTTAAGCACTGTTACAGTTGGATGCAAGGAGCTGAACTTCAGCATGGGGCCACCTTAAATTTCCTAAAAGCTGTCTTTGTTCAAATGCCCATGAAGCTTGTATGTGTCTCAGTCTCCTGAAGGAATGTGGTGAAGGTAGTGCCGACTCATGTATTCCTCACTGATCTTGTGGGAGGAGAACAACTAGAAACTCAGGTATTCAGAGGTTTTAGAACCAGAAAGGGCTTCAGTGTTCATCCAACCGAGTCATACAATTTGTAAAGTTTTCCCTAGAAGCAAAGTAAGTGACCTCTTAAAAAGACTGAGTGATGATGAGTACTTGACGTGTTCAAAGTACTCATCAAAGTTATGCCAAAATGAGAATTTTTTTCATGTTAGGAATGACATACTCGATATTACTTCAGCTTCCAGGTTGTCGCTCCTATCGGTAAGAGAAATCCAGTATTGTTCCACATGCCCAGGGAATATGTTAATGCGTTACTGAGAATATTTTTCCCTGATAACTGCTTTCTAATCACATGGCTTCTCAGCCTTCTTCCCGATGAGCTGAAGAATGGGGCAGCATGTGCCAGTTACTGCTGACCTGCTGAGATCCACTGACTCTGCAAGTCTTATGAAGATACACAAAGAAGTAAAAACTGAACGAGAAATGCAGTGTGAGGTTTGTCAGAGAACAGTAAAGGCTATTAGGAAAAAGAGGGCAAACTCAGAGTTTCCTACCCGCTGGTGTGTGTGCTTTGCGAAATGCTTTAGAGTATACTCTTCCTGTTGGACTTCTGGTTGTCAATATGTGTTTATGATCAAACAGTCAATAACAGTAATGGATGCTAGGAAGTATGATTGTGAAACCTTTGTGGCAGGAAAAGGAGAAATGAAGGCTTTGCATTCTGATTTTCTTCACATTTGTTACTGTTCTTCTGAGGAGATGAAAACTAACTTTTTAAAATTGATGCATTGTGTGCCTACCCTCTGGAATCTGAAGTAAATGTTGCAGTAAGGCTTGGGTTGCACTGAAATTTAAGGATGCTTCTCATAAAGACTTAAGCACAGTTCTTTGCATAAGAGAAAGTTTGAACGACCAAGTTGGGATAATGATTCTTGATAACCTGTAGTGAAGCTGCATTTCCTGCTGTGTTTTTTTACAAGTTCCTCGGTTTGATCTAGCAAGTGCAGTCTGTTTTTTCATCATGGCACTATGTTTGTACCAGGCATGTCATACCAAGGTTGAAAGAATTTCATAGAAAAAGTCAGGTATGTGGGCTGTCTTCTTTCCTTGAGTGTGGAGTTAAATCATACTGGGACTTGAGAGTATGTTTTGTGCATGCTTGAGAAATTAAAGTGATTTAGGAACAAAAGTTGGAGGATTATGTTGTGAAGAGGGCAAACCCAGATGTCTTGGCTTAGGTGCTGCTGCAGATTATCAATTTTCATATTGTAAAACCATATAGTGTAGTGTGTGAGGTACTTTTGGAAGGATGAATACTGTTTTGAGAACCAGTTCCTATGCTGCTTATTGTTGGGAGTGGCTTGTTTCGTGTTCCTGTTACGTTTTATTTAGTGGATAAATTTATGTTGAATTGTTTGGGTGGGTGTAATACGAATATTTGAATAAATAGTACATAAATAATACATCTTGATTAAACTCTGTAGCAGGCAAACCTTGGCTACATTAGTCACCTTGATTCCAAGAAATGCAGATAAAACTTGAGCATTTTGCTATCAATCTGGCAGTTTCTTTTACATGACCTGTATATGCTGCTTTGAACCATTTAACTATATGACATTGTTTTTCCTTGCTTTTTTTTTCCCCTTTTCCAAAAGTGTCTTAGGCAACCAAATCGGTGCGTGGTGGTCAAATCTTATTTTTGTTATTAGAAAAAGGAGATAGTTGTCTCTTTAAATCCCCTTGAAAGAAATTAATTACTACATATGATTTCATTTAATGACGTCTAATGTTTGCCTCCAGGAATTGAAAAATTACATTTATTTATATTGTTGATGATATTGAGATCTCCCAGGTGAACAGTTGTGTGTCCCGGTCTTTGTCCATGTCATCCTCTGCCTATATCTGATTGGTGCAAGTTAAACATTACCAGTGAACGGATTTCATAGGGCTTTTATGAAAACAGGAAGGAACTGAAACTGGCTCATTACCTTTTCTCTGTCTCCTGTTCAAAAAACCTGTGATGTCAGTGCTTTCTGGAGACTTCTTATAAAAAGAGTAAATGTATAATGATAGGTGTGAGGGGTAAAAGGTGGGTTGCTGTTGTTGGGACAGAGTGATGTATAGATGTGTAACATTGGGGGAAAGATGAGTTTTTGAGCAAAGAGGGTGCATTTAATAAAGGAAGTGTCTCTAAACTTTGGCTCTAGCACAGCTTCATTTCTCCTCTTGACCACAACAGCAGCACTATATGCTCTGACTTGTTAATTTCTAGTTCTGTAGGAAATGTTGCCTTCAGTTTGTACCCCTGAGTTACAGATGGAGGACTGTCGCAGTAAGCCTTGGTACTTCAGCTTCCTAAAGTCTGTTTGACTTAGAAGGGCCACATCAGGTTTTAGAGCAGCTCAGGTCTCTTGAGTGAATGTGTAATGGCACTCTTTCAACTGGGTAATTAGGGGGAAATTGTGCGAGCTTTTCCCTGCATTAACTACGTAATTAGGTCGTACTATGGAAGGCAGAAGTATGTCAAAGTATATCACGCACAGCGCTGTATGCCATCGGCAGAGTTGAACTAGTTTTTAATTGTCAGAGAGTCAAGCTGGTATTAGAGCTACAATTTCAAATTTGTGAAAATGTCGACCGACTGCGCAAAATGAGTATGCTTCCTGGTAGTTCTGCGTGTTCATGTTGTCTGTTTCTCTGTAAAAGAAACCTTTTTCCCGGTTCAGGCCTGCTGTACCACAGAGCCTGGCTAGAAGGCTCTTGGATTTTTGAGATTGAGTTGATGTCAAGTACTGGTATCTGTGTTAAAAAGCAGAAGTTGGCACTGAGGCTTCTGTGCTGTGCATCAAGAGGGATTTTTATTTATTTGTTTTTATATACGAGACTGACTAAACCTTATTTACCATTTTGGTAATGGTAATACCTCCTGCCTGGATTTGTATTTGGGTTGCGACCTAAGGGTGAAATGCCCTTCAGATTTTATATTTTGTACGCAACTGTCTTATTTGCCAAGTTTTACTGGTTTACTTGGAATGGTGTAATTATTTTGTGGAGTTTTTCCACTGCTTTTAGTACATTGGTCTTTGCAAAATGTGCATGTTTGAAAAACTGTACCTATTGAAGGGAATGTTAGAATAGAATTAGAAACTCTTTTCCTACTATTTGTTTAGATCCAAAGGCAGAAACACGACTGTATATTATGGTGAATGACTTTGAATTTCATGTGTACAACCGTTCTGAGCTTTATGGACAACTTCAAGAACTATTTGGCTTGGATCCCACAATAATTCCAGCAAAGAAAGACGACGAAAAAGCACAAGTAAACGGGAGGCAGAGAACGCACACCAATCTTGAAAGGTAAATTATTATTCATTTTGCTGTTTTGTCAACGCTTTGTTCTGCGAAGGGCTGAACTAATTGGGTAATGCTTTGTTAACATATGCTCTGGAGGCCAAATGGTTGAAACACAGCTGAGAGAGAAATTGCACTGACAAGCCTGACAGTCTAAATCTTTTCCCTTTCCTCAGACTTCCTAGCATAATAATTAAAAAAACACAACCAAACAAACCAAACACTCCTTGTTTAATGATCAGAGACAGGTTGAAAAATCTATTTGAAGCACATTGTGGAAAGGGAGCATATGTCGAAGAGGATTAAGCTTGCGGAATAATAGTGGTACTGCTCAGTAGAAGTAATAGCTGCTCAAGATGTTGAATAGACAAAATGAGAGGATCTGTATGGTGTTGAGAGAACTTGCTGGTTTTTGAGCTTTAAACTCGGACTGATTTCACAAGTTGTCTTTTTAGGGGTGTGTGTGTAGTTACACAAACCTTCTTTTTGGGGTACCCTGAAAAACATGGTGTGGGTCTATAAGGAGTTCTGCATGGCTTATGTGTAGTGGAGTCAGGTATTCAGTAATAATCCCCTCTTTGGGCAGAATCACAGCAGACTGATTTATTGGCAGGAGCAGAGAAGATCTAATGAGTCTTGAGTCTTTCCACTGCTGCTGGCCAGGCCAGTATGTAAATTACGTAGTAGGCAGCTGCAGGATGCTGTGGCAGTCCTGAGTTTGGGTGAGGGTTGTGCTTCTGAGACGGTCTTTTCATGCTTTCATCTTATGTCCTTATTAACAGGTGCAGGGAGGACTTCTGCCTTGGGGGAGGACGTGTCTTGGGAAATGAAAAATCCTGCACCAAAGACCTAAAAGGATTGGTTTAGGAATATTTAGAACAGACCAAGTTCCCCTGAGGGAGGCTTATTTAACTATTGCTCAGTGTTAAACATGGCCAGCTTGTTTCCTACTTGTGTCAGCTCAATATGTCAGCACCCAAGGCATAGCTGTGTGTGCTTCCTGCTGTTCTTCCAGGCTCTGGAGGGGTCTGCAGTAGACTGCTAGCAGGTCCCTTACAGGAGACACCCCTGTGGGAACGAGTGTTCCCCAAACGCTATGCACTGAAGACCTCTAGAAGAAAAGGTTGGTTAGTTCTTCTGCAGAAAAGATAAAATTATGAAACTCTTTTTTTTTTCCCCATAGTGTTAAAGTGAAAACGGAATCTCAAGACCCTTCTTCTTCATGGAGATCACTTATTCCAGTCATTAAGGTCAATGTGAGCACGGTAAGTGAAAAGACCCTGATAATGAAAATATTTAGCAGTGTATGCTTAAAAATCAGGCTTGCCATTCATTTTTTATACATTCTTTTTGAGTTTTTGTTCTCTTTCATGCTTTAAAAAAGTTCTAAAATGATACCACCAGCACTCCCCTGATAGAATCTCAGATCCTGCTGGTGCTGATGGAAACATGGTTATGTGCTCAGTTTTGGGAAGTACTTCTGTCTTAGACTTGTAATGATTTTGAGAATATCACTAAGTAGTTAAGCCACGTAATGGCTGTGGTACAGCGTGTGGCATATTGGGTTTTACAGAGGTGCTTGGGTTTTTTCTTTTTTTTTCTCCCCTGCATCTTTTAGTAGGGATAGTTGGACATGTTCCTTGAAAATTGGTGTTGCGTCCCCAGAAAAAAAGAGAAAAACTGTTATTGAGGTGATAGATGTACATTAAACTCTCAATATTCTAAGGCAGTATTTTTAGATGTGCACAGATTATGGCCAGGATTTTTTTCCACTGTCTTTATTTGCATATGACTGGTTAAACTACATTATTATTATAGGTAAATATATACATATTCCTGATATAGTGGCAGATGTCCCTGCCTGTGGCGGGGAGGTTGGAACTAGATGATCTTGTAGATGCCCTATCCCTGGAAGTGTTCAAGGCCAGGTTGGATGAGGCTTTGGGCAACCTGGTATAGTAGAGGGTGTCCCTGCCCATGGGACACCCATGGGAGGGAGGTTGGAATTAGATGATCTTTAAGGTCCCTTCCAACCCAAACCACTCTATGATTCTATGTATATAAAAAAGCAGTGTATAATGAGTAATTGGATTTTCTTTTTGGTTTAGGGTCGCTTGGCATTTGGGAATCATTATCAACCACAAACACTTTGTATTAACTTTGACGATGCTTTTTTGACATATACCACAAAACCACCCTCGAGCCACCTTGATCAGTTTATGCACATTGTGAAGGGAAAATTGGAAAACGTTAGAGTCATGCTGGTTCCAAGTCCACGCTATGTTGGTCTTCAAAACGATGAGTAAGTTTTGGGTTTTTTTGTTCCTATATTATTTTAGCCTTTATTTTAAGAAAATGATGTTGGTTGTGTTTCTGTGACTTTATTTTTCTTAGTGTGTTTAGACAATTGGCGTTTTTACCACTCTGAAGGTTTTAAATAAAACAGTTTCGAAGATCCAACATTTATGGAGAAAAGTACTCGTTTTCTGTCTCGTTGATTTTTGTGTTGTGTATTCTGGTCTATGATTAATATCCTGCATTCAACTTTTATTTTCCTTTGCTCAGCTACTATAGCTGTACGCAGGCTTTGACAACACTCAATTTCTAGGATGAATGCAAGGTTTAAGGTGTTGGCTTCTGTAGAGCTGATTGTGTATGGTTCGGAAAATATTTTTTAAGATGTACAAAAGCTGCACACTACTTGGTGTAGTAGAAATCATGTTATCTTTTGAGGACAAATTGCTGATCCTTTTACCTCTGTGTTCAGCATAAGTGGAGTTATGCAGCTTTAACAAACTGAATGGTAATAAGTCAGTAAAAGAAAGAGTGCTTGCATGAAATGATTTGACACTAGGATTCTCATTTTATTAGACTTTGACCAGCAAGGTGTTTATGTGCATACTTTAGTAACATTCTTGATATGGTATGAACATCATAGCCAATATTTATTTTATTTAGTGCTTGCAGTGTTATATATTTAACAGATAATTTGGACAAAACTGCTAAATTTCAAAGTCTTTCACAGGTGGTTTTTGCTCAAGAAAACATAAATAATGTATACTATCCTTGAACTATTGTGTGTATGAGTTCATGTAAAATGATTACACCTATTATACCTCCTAAGCAACAATATCGAGAGGATGAATTATGATGCTTGGAAATAAACTGTACATCATTTGACCGTACTTTATATTGGCCAAATACTGCTGTCTATAATATGCCTTTGGATGTTTTCGAATAACAGTCTGTGGATGTGTACAGAATCTTACTCTTGCAACATGACAACAAAGGAAATTTCTCCAATTAATACTGAAAACAAACAAGATTAAACTAAAATAGGATTAAGATAGTCAAACTATTAGCTTTTTCTCCTGCTTCCGCTAAACGTTTTCTTTCTATGCTGTTACCATCCCTGCAGCTTGGGGTGGCTGAAGGATGGCATGTGTGCAGAAAACATGTGCCCTAATTTACTGGGTAGATTCAACAAATGACCTAGTTCACTGGAAACTGAGAACATTTGAATCTTCAGAGCCTGCCCTCTTTTGCTTCTTTAGCTTAAAAATTAAGCCGAGCATCTTAACTTTCAGGAATTCCTGCAGGCAATGCAAGTATTGGCAATGCAAGTATAAAAAAACAGCTAAGTGACTTGATGAAATTTGTAACAGACTGAGTAATCAATACAAACATCAAAAACTCACATTGAAAACTGTCAGATTATATTACAGACACCTCAACATCTCCTTTGGTTTTTGCAAATAAATCCTCCAAAACCCAAGGGAAACAATTTGCGCTAGGAAAAGCAGCTCAAAACAACAGGTTTGGAGAGCTGTGACCAAGTCAGCAGGATCAAAGCGGACGTTCAGTGTAGATGTTAGGAAATACTTTTTAATGATAAACTCAGTATCATTCATTGCCATTATCAAATTTGTTTTTGCAAATAGCCTGTGGTGGGATTTCCAGGGTTCTACCACCTCCATCAGCTAAGTCTGGCAAGGTGTAACCA